GAAAAACTAGTAAAAGATTTGGAAAAAGTATGCTGTCACCTTAGTAATTCCAGAGAGATACAAATCACTGCAACATGCTGGAACCTGGCCCAGGCCTATCGAGCCCTGTTCAACACTGCTCAGTACCCTCAGGGAGAAAAGAAAGTCTCTGGATCTGACAACAAAACCACAGGCCCGATGGCTACTCCAACCCCAGTGACAGGCACTGCAGCTACTCCTTTGTGGCTGTGGAAAAAATCTCCCAGAGGTATAAAAAATTGTTCTAGGAGTTTTGTCAAGAAAAAGAGGTCCTACTCCCCACCTGTGTGGACCTACATCTCAGCTATTAACAGTAAGAGTTCTTTTTCTCAAAAGGGAGGATATAGAAAATACACACCACAGGGTACCCTATGGTTTTACTTGCAGGACCAAGGAAAGGACATGAGGAAGTGGGATGGAAAACCTACCTTGACCCTAGAGGCACAGGTATATGAATTGCAGGGAAAAACAATCAGAAATGAGGGTTCTTCCAGGAAAGTTACTGTCTCAGTCTTCAGTGGCAGTTTCCCATGCAGAGTGGAAGGGCTGATTTTACTTCTGATTCTATGGAATGGAATTCTAATCCATTTCTACAAGTAAATGGAGAATCCTATGACCAGGACTAGAAGGGCCCTGCCTCCAGCCAGGTGGAAGAAAGGGATAGCCAGGTTTATTGGAGAGTGTGAATCCGGTGGTCTGGCACAGCACCCCCTCAGGAGTACAAGGTTTTCGTAGACACTGGTGCACAGTGTACTCTAATGCCATCAGGCTATGCAGGGGCAGAATCCATCTGTATTTCCGGAGTGACAGGACGATTCCAATAGCTGACTGTACTGGAGGCTGATCTTATCCTGACTGGGAATGAGTGGTAAAAACATCCCATTGAAACTGGCCCAGAGGCTCTGTGCATCCTTGGCACAGACTATCTCAGGAGAGGGTATTTCAAGGGTGGGTTTTTGATATAGCTGTCTTGAAGATGGAGGAAGTTAAACAGTTGTCTACCTTGCCTGGTCTCTTGGAGGACCCTTCTGCTGTGGGGTTGCTGAAGGTTGAAGAACAGCAGTTGCCAATTGTTACCATAATGGTGCACCACCAGCAATATTGCACCAACCAAGACTCCCTAATTTCAATCCATAAACTGATTTGTCAACTGGAGAGCCAAGGAGTGATCTGCAGGACCCACTCACCATTTAATAGTCCCATATGGCCAGTGTGAAAGTCTAACAGAGAATGGTGATTAACAGTAGATTGTTGTGGACTGAATGAAGTCACACCGAGTGCTGCCATACTGAACATGTTGGAACTTCAATAGGAACTGGAGTCAAAGGCAGCCCAGCACTGCTACAATTGATAATGTTAATGTGTTTTTCTCAATCCCTCTGGTGACAGAGTACAGGCCACAGTTTGCTTTGACTTGGAAGGGCATCCAGTACACCTGGAATCAACTGGTGGAAATACAGCCTAACCATCTGCCATGGACTGATCCAGACTGTACTGGAACAAAGCAAAGGTCCAGAACTCCTGCAATATATTGATGATATCATTGTGTGGGGCAATATAGCAGAAGAAGTTTCTGAGAGGGAAGAAAATAGTCCAAATCCTTCTGAAGGATGGTTTTAATATAAAACAAAGTAAGGTCAATGGACCTGCACAGGAGATCTGGGTTTTAGGAATAAAATGGCAAGATGAATGTTGTCAGTAGCAATGTCTCCACCAACTAGTAAGAAAGAAACAAACTTTCTTAGGTGTTGTAGGATTCTGGGGAATGCACATTCAAAATTACAGTCTGATTGTCAGCACTTGGTATGAAGTGACCTGGAAGAAAAATTATTTCAAATGAGGCCCTGAGCAACAACAAGCTTTTAAACAAATCAAACAGGAGACAGTTCATGCTCTAGCCCTTGGGCCAGTCCAAATAGAGCAAGATGTAAAAAATGTGCTCTATACTACACTTGGGGAGAATGGTCCTACCTGGAATCTCTGGCAGAAAGCACCCGGAGAGACTCGAGGTTGACCTCTGGGTTTTTGGAGTCAGGCATACAGAGGATCAGAAGTCTGCTATACTTCAACTGAAAAGGACATACTGGCAGCTTATGAAGGGGTTCAAGCTGCTTCTGAGGTGATTGGCACTGAAGTCCAGTTCCTCCTGGCACTCTGGTTACCAGTGTTGGGTTGGATGTTCAAAGGCAGAGTCTCCTCTGCACATCATGAAACAGATGCTACATGGAGTAAGTGGGTCATCACATGATGAGCTCTGATAGGAAACCCCAGTCATCCAGGAATCTTGGAAATGATCATGAATTGGCCAGAAGGCAAAGATTTCAGAATGTCACTAGAGGAGAAGGTGATGTGCTGAAGAGACCCCACTGTATAATGAAGTGCCAGAACATGAGAAGTAATATGACTTGTTTACTGATGGGTCCTGCTGTTTTGTGGGAAAGTATTGGAGATGGAAAGCAGCTGTATGGAGTCCCCTATGACAAGTCACAAAAACTGCTGAAGGAGAAGGTGAATTGAGTCAGTTTGAAGAGGTGAAAGCCATCCAGTTGGCCTTAGACATTGCTGAATGAGAGAAATGGCCGATACTTTATACTGATTCATGGATAGTGGCAAATGCCTGGTGGGAGTGGTTGCAGCAATGGAAGCAGATAAACTGGCAGCACAGAGATAAATCTGCCCAGGTGGAGAACCTGGTTGTGAAGGTACATCATGTGGATGCTCATGAACCCAAGAGTCAGGCAACTGAATAACATCAGAACAACCAGCAGCTGAATCAGGCTGCTAGGATTGAAGTGCTCAGGTGGATTTGGATTGGCAAGATAAAGGTGAATTATTTCTGGCTTGGTGGGTCCATGACACCTTGGGACATCAAGGAAGAGATGCAACATCTAGGTGGGCTCGTGATCGAGGGATGGACTTAACCATGGACACTATTGAACAGGTTATCCTGGAATGTGAAATGTGCTGCAATTAAGCAGGGCCAGGCAGATAAAGCCTCTGTGGTATGGGGGACGATGGCTGAAATATAAGTATGAGGAAGCCTGGCAGATTGACTATATCACACTCCCCCAAACCTGTAACAGCAAGCATTGTGTGCTTACAATGGTGGAAACACACCCTGTGCTCCATGGCACTGCCTGGAACGGTATCCTGGGCCTTGGAAAGGAAGTCTTATGGTGACATGGTACTCCAGAAAGAATTGAGTCAGTGATATAACCTCAGATGCACAGAATCGGACAATGGAAGCCATTTTTGAAACAACTTCATAGATGCTTGTGCCAAATAACATGGAACTGAGTAGGTGCATCATATTCCCTATTATGCACCAGCCTCTGTAAAGATCAAACAATGTAATGGACTGTTAAAGACTACACTGAAGAGAATTTGTGGTGGAACCTTTAGACACTGGGATATACATTTAGCAAAGGCCATCTGCCTAGTCAATACCAGAGGATCTGCCAATCAGGCTGGCACTGCCCAATCAAAATTGTTAAGTACTTTAAAATGGGATAGAATTCCTGTGCACATTAAAAATATGCTGGGGAAAACAGTCTGGGTAATTCCTGCCTCAGGCAAAGGTAAACCCATCTGTGGGACTGCTTTTGCTCAAGGACCTGGGTGCACTTGGTGGGTAATGTGGAAGGATGGGCAAGTCTGGTGTGTGCCTCAGGGGGATTTGATTTTGGGTAAGAATAGCCAATGAATTAAACTGTATTATGCTAATAGCTATCGAAGATTGATCTGGCTTCAACTGCAACAATCCAATACCACACACCATCTTTCCTGTCCTGAAGGACTGCTATGACAGATGGAGCCCAAGGTCATGGACTAAATGAACTCAACAGACTTTTATAGGGATGATCCATAGACTAAGGGAATGATATCTGTGTGTATATCTATGAAAAAATAGGAAAGGTGATGGGGTATTGAAAAGTGTGGGACCTGGTATTATGTAAATGGTATGGAATAAGGGGTGGAGACTGTCCTGGTTTTGGCTAACATAGAGTTCATTTTCTTCTTAGTCGCTTGTAGTGCTGTGTTTTGGATTCAGTGTGAGAATAATGCTGATAACACACTGATGTTTTGGTTGTTGTTGAGCAGTGCTTACCTTGAGTCAAGGGCCTTTCAGTGTCTCATGCTTTGCCAGGGAGAAGCTGCACAAGAAGCTGTGAGGGAGCACAGCCAGGACAGCTGACCAGAACTGGCCAAAGGGATATTCCATACCATATAATATTCCCAGTATATAAACTGGGGGAAGTTGGTCAGGACAGGATGATAGCTGCTGGGGAATGGGCTGGGCATCAGTCAGTGTGGTGAGGAACTGTATTGTGCATCACTTGTTTCTCTTGGGGTTTATTTCTCTCTCTGTGTCTCTCTCTCCTTTTCAATACAATTATTATTATTGTTATTATCTTTTACTTTAGCTCAATTATTAAGCTATTCTTATCCAAACCCATGGGTTTTCCCTTATTTCAGATACTCCTTCCCATCCCACTGGGGAAAGGGGGTGAGGGGATTGAGTGAGCAGCTGCATGGTACTTAGTTTCTAGCTAAGGTTAAACCACTACAAAAGGTATCTTCTAAAAAAAAAAATCTTTTCTTAATTAAAAAAAACCCAACTGAGATCAGTAAGTATATTTCCAGTTAGTATTTCAGACCTTGAGTACAAAAGTAAGTTATCACTCCCCCCATTTTAAGTGTATATATAAAAAAAAGTGTTCAAATTCAACTACTGGGGATTTTGTTTGATTTTTTTTTAACTACATGAAAATAGATAGCACAATGTTTCTGCAGTGTTTCTACTTGGTAATTACCAAGTGTTTTTTCAAGTATTTAAAGGAAAAACAAGATTATATTTTACAAGTCACATCAGTAGACAATGCAGAGAAGCAAAGCCTGCAAAACCACTAATTTCAATAGTCATTGCTATTATATGTGGAAGGCTTTCACATACTCAAAGGCAATGGAAACATTTCAGTTACCTTGAGTGCTAAAAGGCTCTTGTTAATTTCTGCACCTTCCAGTCGAGTCTGCCTATCTGCACTAGAAGTATCTGCTCCTCTTTCATTGCCAGCCAAATCAATCAGAGAAAATTTACCATGGAATTTCCCTTTCCTTCTGAGAATAATCTGAAACACTGCATGGCTTCGAGATGAGTGTGCATTTGCAGATGTCTGGCTGGATGTCCTTTAACAAAAGGAAAGAAAAGAAGAACATATGAACAGGCAAAGGACCATATATGTTAAACACATTGCCCTCAGAACATTAGTTTTTTCAGGGCATAGTCCTGTGTTTACCCATATAATTTGATGCACACGGTACAATTATACCTATTTTTCCAATTCTTCAAACAGAAATGGAAGATTAGTAGCATTTTACTACTCTCTTAAAAGCAAGAATAAACAGATCTCCAAAGATTTCAGACTATCAGAGAGTTTATATGCAAAATGCCACATGTGGTACTTTTATCTAATCAGTCAGCAGTCTGTCACAAAGCTAATTTTATAAACAATAAAGCTGGATCATAAACAAACCCCAACTTTTATACTTTTGTCACTACATATCAAGGCCTTTTAGAACTGAAGAATCTGGCAGTATTCCAGATTATAAATGATGTGAATTTAAGTCAGTAAACTGGTTATATAATGCATGCAATTCACATCCTGTAGAAAAATCAGTTCATATTTCTCCCTGGCTGAAAAACTCAAAACTATATCCAAAAGATAGGTAAATTCCTTACTTGCAGCCAACATTATAAAAAATGCCACTGCATATTAAAAAGCCATTACTATGAAGAGACCAAAAAAAAATCTTGTTGCAATTCTTTCATTTACAATGAAAAATTGGTGAAAGCTATGGGATATACCTGCAGCTGTTGCCTATTTCAATAAGCTTAAGAACATCTTCAACACATTTAACTTCCCGTTCCTGTAATCCCACCACCTGGACTTGCTGTTTACCATCTTCTAACACTCTTAATTTTGTCTTCCTGTTCAACAAGTCAAAAACCTTGGGGAGGAGGGGGAAATAACAGTTAAAGAGGAGCTTTAAAAGACATTTTTGCTTCAAATGTCATATCAAAATATGCAAAGCATTCCATGCACAATCCTGCTTGAGCAGGGAGGTTGGACCAGATGACCCACTGTGGTCCCTTCCAACCTGTGATTGAAAGGATTATTATATAATGATATAGATAAAGATATAAAGAATTATTTGAAATAAAGCTTTTAGTACAAAAATGAAAAAAATCTTTTATGTGACAATCTTGTTTGTGAAAGAGAAATTCCACCTTCCTCAGAAAAAAACAGGTACTTACCTTACCACTATAGATCTCAAAAAATGTTGCATATACTTGAAGTTCTAACTTGTTATAATTTGGCTTCTTTAGCATTAAAAAGACATCTCTAGCTGTGAATACATTTACAAAATAAAAAGAGATGTAGTTATGTATTTTCATTTAGTGAAGACATTAATACATAGAAGTCTATTTTACAGTATCTCATATTTTGCAAGTGTAACAGTCAATCAAGTCAATTAAGAAACACTGCAGTTTAAACTGCCACATTACATTGGAAGATGCAGAAGACTCAAAAATTGTAAACTTGATCATCATTTATGTTTCTTACATTTCTAAAGTTATCTGTAAATATTTACCTTACCGTGTAAAAACTACCCACCTAGAAACTACTTTTTATGTTACCAAAGCTCCACTGTAATGCAAAATATGTCGACCCTTATGTTTGTACAACAGGAAGTGGAAATGTATTGACCTCAACTAATTTGCGCAAAGCCAACAGAACAATAAAGTCTCACCTGCAAGTGCATATATTCCTTTAGAACAATCTTGGTTCTTTGCTGAAAAGTCACCACCCATAGTCTAAATTAAAAAACAAAAGACCAAAAATACACAATAAAGATCACAGAACTGTAACTTACATATTTGTTACTTATTAGAATTTATTGAAGCGTAAAATACACAAAAAGAAGTGTATTGCTGACATGTAGAGGAAATACTTACATGGGTTTTTCCGCTGCCTGTTTGTCCATATGCAAAGCAAGTGGCCCATCCCTTTTCAAATATGGTCTCTACTAATGGTCGAGCTGTAAACCTTAAAGGTAAAAAACAACAGTATTTTAGAAATTTAATTACTTTTTAAAACCCACACTACCACAAAGGCACTATAAATTTTAATGCCAGAAGTGACAAAGCTTTTTCTGAACTTTGAGAGGCCAAAGGACATCTGCTTATTAATTCCTGAACTAAAGAGGCTACCAGCTCTAGGGCATTCAAATATACTACACAATTAAAGAAAAGCTACAAGGTGTTTCCCATTTATTTTGCAAAAAATGTATTTTTCTTCAAACCCCACGAAAAAGAATTTTCTTGTTTTAGTGTTGCAACATGGCACAGTTTGCTACATGGAGTTTGGAGCTCCCTAAAGAAGGCCCCATTATAAGATGCAGAAGTAGGACAGTGCAGCAGTTAAATGCTTAGATTTTGCCAATACAAAAAACCCACTATAGCTTTTGCTCCCTAAATTAGCTTCCAATATTAAGTTCAGAAGACAAGTGGTCCAAAACACATTGCATGTCTTAATATTTTGAGAACATAGTTACACTGAGACAAGGCTCAATAAAACGTCTACCCAGGCTCATCAGAATGGAAAAATCCAGTAATCCCTTAAGCATTATTTGATGCATCAAAAATATTTTCCAAAATATAATTTTTCTATTTTAAAGAATTAATTTTTACTTAAATAAATGTATCTATTGCTCCCAATTCAGCTGCTTACTACCATTTCTTCATGAAAATCTCCAAAAGCAAAAGGTAACCTTATGGTGGTTACCTCCACCAAGTGATGGAGGCAAGAGTCTCTCTTTCTAAACTTTTTCCAGATGTTTACAAATAAAGTATGTTTAGTGACAGAAACAAGAATGATTGTTATCAGAAACACTGAGGTGTTACAACCTCCTTTCATTCCACTTTGGAACAAACACGTCACTTACAAAAATAATATGGGTAAGATTGAGCCATTCAGCAACCAAGGGTAATGCAAAAATCTATGTTTAACCGAATCATCAGTTTTCATCAAAAATATACCAGTTGATTCCTGATCAGTCTTAGTCTTTCTTTTTTGCATCCTCCAAGTATATACCTTTTTTTTTTTGTCCTCAAGAGGATATTCCCAATCAGTTTCAGGAAACCTATCCACCTAAGAAGCACATTCCATTATCTCTGCTTAATTGCATTTGAAATTATTAATTTTGCTGATTTATAAAAAATGGACTGAATTATATGTATTTTAAAATAAGGCAAAATACAAACATGACTAGAAAATTTTTGTAGAGCATTATACAACACCAAATGCTACCATGTCAAAAAAGTCAAACTCTCCTTCTAGTAGAACCTTTATTTGCAATCTTGAGCCTTCAGAAATATAAACTCTGATTCTCCTTTAAAATTCAAAAGGCATTTAAGTTTTTTAATACTAAAAATCCTTGCAACTCAGTGTTGCAGCTCATGGATTCAAAAATACTTAAATACAGCCTAAGTAAAGTAATAATAAGAAAATAAAGAGTAGTACATTTCTTGAGAACATTTTTCAGTATAGAAATAGGAGAAATTTTAGCATATTTAAGAAAACTCAAGTAACTTGTCATACTTTTTTTTCCCCATTGTGACCCTGGCAGTTCTGGTTAGAGCAGAACATGATACCTGTCTTCCTCGCAATTGTGTTACTACAGGAGGCCTTGAAGTAGATTATCCTTCATGTGATAATCATTATTGTGCCATATGAGGGAGAAAAAAAAAGCCTGTACTGCTATACAGACTAGAGGTTTATTGTTTCAGTATGAATACAAGCACCTTTCAGTATTCTCCCATATTACTATTAATTTATTATGCAAGTAATAAAAATTTTGCTGAAGAAACTCAGTACAAAAACATAACATTGTATGTCAAAAACATCCCTCACATTTAAACACTATGCTCACAAAGACAACATGAAGGAGGGAGATTACAGGAACTGGTTGTTAAGGGGGAGGAAAACTATTGCAAGAGGCTGTAAGGAAAAGGCTAGACAGAAAAGCAAAACTTGAGACAAAGGGAGGACATGGGGTGTAGGCCCCTTTGAGCCCTTCTGAGAAATGTCTCAAACACTCATAATGAAGCAACTGGAAACAGCCAGGTGTTCCATGACATGTGCCATGAGATATGTGTCCAAGGGATTTCCATGGGCATGATGGCCTGCTAATGGGGTAATAAGTTATCAGGTAAAGGCGCGCTCTCCCTCTCTCTCTCTCTCTCTCTCCCCTCCAGCCTCCAGTGTTGTTTCACTGCATCTCTAGCCAAGTATTCTTGAATCTGAGTCACTTTCCTCCCCCTCTTGTGTTGGAAAATCCTAAGGGATGCTGACTGTCTACCCAATAAGTGGGCAGGGAGAGCCAGGAAGTGACCTCTCAGCTAAAAGCCGGGAGAAGTTCAAGCAGTGCCAAGACAACAGATGTCTGAGAAAGGCCAAAGCTCAACTGCTCCACTATGTGAAGATGTTATCTCTGTGTGACCCAGGCACATCTCACCAGCTAGATCACTTTCTAACAGCTCTTTACTATCTAGAAAGAAAAGATGCTACCAGTAGACAATCATTAGAGACACATTTTCAAGGGCACAGCTTTGTTGTTTAGAAGTATTGCATTAGTGTAAACTAACAGACTAAAAAGTTTTTACTTTTGCTATGCTTCTCCTTTTACTTCTATCAAACTTAAGACACAAGTTTTCATTTTCAAGGCCTTTTAATAAATCTCTTATCCACCAACAGGATGTTAACATCTAACATCAGTCAGGGTACGATGCCAACTTTGACTTCCTAATTGTTGAATTAAAACCAAGATTTACGAAAATTCTCTGTCCCTATTCCTTAAGGCTATGGGAGGCACTTTCTAAGCATAAGGAAAATTATCTTTATCAAATTCCTTTCTAATATCAATATTCTTTGCAAAAATATTCACAATATTTAGATTTCATACCGAGACTATGACCTGTGGTGTCTAACCTTGCCTGTATCTAATCCATTAAGCAACTTGGACAAGGTAAACAGCTACTTCTAAACAAATTTTAAAGTGTTGTGCATTATTCTCTTTCAACTGTGGAAGTCAAACAGAAAAAGAAAGGCGAAAATGAAGATTCAAATACCATGGGGTCTCTGTCTCTGTGCTCTTTCCCCACCCTCTCCTGATTTGTTTGTCTCCTGAGGAAGCAATACACACTAGAGCCTGGAAAACTCTTGGAGGGTAACTGAGAGCAGGATTCAGGATAAACAGAGCTAAACCAAAAGTAAGCAGGCAAAAGAATGGAGTTAGCAACATACATTTCTGATAACAGAGAGAATACAAGTCCATGACCAAGGTAAACCCACAGTTATTGACATCAAAGATATATGAGAAAAAAGATTCCCAAAAACCCCCATATACACATACCTGTAAACCATTTCATTAGGAGCCATGTCATCAAAGGCATAATTAAAACGAAAAGTTTGGTTTTCTAGGTACCTTGTTAAATCCACCTTTTGTTTTGGTTCATGTACCATCACAACATCTTTACTAGGAATTGTCATTACATCAAGGTCTTTCATTAAAGTTTCTATAAAATAAATGAAATATATATATTTGTGGAAAACACCAATCACTTGTGTTAAAATTTTAAAAGTTCAATAGTAATAAAATAGTAATAAAAATTAGGACAAGAATTTGGACAATCAAAGTTAGGACAATAAGAGACAATAAAAAACAAAGAATTACGGATGTCTGGATGCTCTTGAGCACTAAGCCAAAAAAGCACACACACTAACAAAGGATTAACCCTTAAAAGCAATAGCCTGTTGCCTATTCATATATCTCATACATGATTCAAATATTTTTCAAACAAAGGGTGTCTTCTGCTTAATTTCTTCTCCCCCCCTCAACTTGTAAATCAATTTCTTGGCTCCTAGAAGTCTGGAAGAAGTCTGATAAGGAGGCAATAATTCTTCTCTTGAAATTTTGGTGTCTTGTTGCTGTTATCTTTATGCAAAGAATTTCTTGGTTATCTTATCCATTCCTTGAGCTAGTTACAAAAAGTATCTTACATCACATAGTTTCTATTTTAATATTATGCTATAGCCTAAAAGCTATATTTGTCACACTACTTAAAAAGATTAATATGGCACTACTAAAATTAATACAGTATAACTTTCCAACATAACACATATAGTACTCATTTTAATATTTGCGAAGGCTAATCACATAATATGCATCTTTCACATATTTAAGTAGCAACACATCACTATTTTTTAAGATTTTCATTGTTTACACTCTTATAATATCTCAGATAACACAGCTCCTCCAAGCAACAACACTGCAATGGACTTGGGCTTCTGATACCTAGATAGTAATCTGCTAAGTAAGAGATTTCATTTTTGAAGTCTAGTTGTCCTCTCTTACCAGGTGCTAGAAGGTAAAGAAAGGTTGTACAAAGTTGATTAGAAAAACTAAGATAATTAATGATAGCACCATCATTAAGCTTCATTTTAAAATTCTATCTTTTTATTTTTCCTAAATCTCTTAAGTTATAGACATATCTTCACAGCTTTTAAAAAGTAAGAAAATTGTTTTCCTTCTACATAGTTTCATTTTTGTATTCCTTCTGGAATCTCAAGTCTTTAATATAGAATGTCTCTAAAATAAAATGCTTTCTTTAAATTATCTTGTAAGCAGAAAAAGCTGAACATGCTAAAGATGTTTCTTATCACTAGGAATGAACAAAAGCCTTCTAGATGCAATTTTAGTAGTGAGTTCTCAGGTTATAATTACTACATAGCACTACAATTCATTGCTAATTATGTACGATATATGACAGCAAAACAGAGAACCCAGGGATCCACGAGATGCACAAAAATAATGATCCTTTCTGTGTAAAGTCAGGATCACTGATGTGTCCTACTTGCATTTCTATGTTAAATTTCTTAAGGCATGCAGTTCAAGAATTTGATGTAACTCTATCCAATCAGGTAGACATATTTTCATCAGTTAAAATGCCATTCAAACAGCAAAATGGTTACTATTGCATGACATTACACACCAACAGAAATATGCATTCAGGTCACTATATATTCTATTTTTCAACTGCACTGCAATAAAATAAAATGCAATTATTCTGAAGCAATCAAAGAGAATAAATAAGGAATAATAGTGAAAAGATCTATAAAAAGGTAAATTTTTTCAGAAAAAAACTTTAGTCAAAACAGTCAAAAGCTGGGTTTTTTTAAACAATTGTTTTAAATATTTGTCACTGAAATAAAATCTTAAAATTTCAGTCTGAAGACCTTCGTCCTGCAAAGTCAATCTACAAAATGACTGGTGCTGAGAACACCTAAAGAATTTGGTGATAATTTTGTGTTTGTGAGACTACCTGAAATTGATTGATACACTTGATTTCTTGCAAATTATTTGAACATCTTACAGCATTTCAAAATACGGAACATGAAAGGGGAAAGAATATTTTTGACATGTTATTGCAATAATAAAGGAAAAATGATTTATATGTTTCTCTTTAGGGTATTACACACTAACATCTTCTATTTCTTGATATAATTTTAAAATGTAGCAAGAGAAATATTGTTTCTTATGAACTTTCAAAATTAAAGTGAATGTTCCCAGAATACTGCATTATGTGGGTACAAGATTATGGTTCCTCCCCAGCATATATTATTTCATTAATACCTTTTTATAATAGCTTATTCTTAAAAATGCAAAATAACTTCAGTGCGAATCTCATTTTTACTTAGACACTCATCTTCCTACCAACAACTCAGAACTATTCTTAGTAGTTCCAAACCACTAATATCCAAGATATTTGCACAGAATCAAGTCCCTCTTCTGAAACTTAATTTATGCCTCATACCAATTTGCTGTCAGTTATTGTATTTTCACTGTCTCCACCTTCAGTGCAAGTTGAAGGTAACATTCCCCCCATGTATCACATTTCTAAGTTATATTTTATTAAAGATAGCCTCCAATGCTAAAACAGAAATTGAACTGTTGCCAGACTTGTATATTGAATGCCCTTATGACATATGTTGTGAAAAATAGTTTCAATCAATCAGTTTTTGAGATTATGCATTCCTTTCAGATCAATAAAAAAATACAGGGAATAAGAAAACAGTAAAAGTAATAAAAAAAAAAAGGAGGGGAAGCAGCAACGTGGAGGGGAAAAAATAAAATAAAACTAACTTTATACTAACATCAATATATGTTTTCCCTTTCCTATACAATTCTCCCATGTTCCTCTGGATATCCTCCAGATAACTCTCAATGTGTAGTTGACAGTACAAAAATAATAAATGCATCCCATGTTGTTTCAGAGTCAAAGTGATGTTCTTTGAGTCCTTAGGCTAAAAAAAAAAAAAAAAAAAAAACAAAAACAAAGAGAAGGAAAGAAACATCTTTCAAAATGAAAATCAGCTTACTTTAAGCTTACTTTAGTGTTGGATTCATCCAGGCTTTGATCCAGATGCATTTGCAGTTCTTAATTTCTCATAAAAGTAAAGAACTTAATAGAAAGATTGGGATTTGACTGGAGTTGAAAACTAAATGTTTTTTTTGGTGGGGGATATAGACTCCAGTTTGATCACCAGGCAGTAAGAAATAAAAATTGTCAAGCAAATCATACATGAAGAGAAGTCACTAAGGAGTGCTTCCAGTACCTAAAAATAATTGTTTAGTGCCATTTCATATGCCCTAAGGTATCCTGCCCAGCCCTGAGCAGCAATTCCAGGAGGTACATGTCTCCAGTTTGTCTATAACCTGCTAGCCCTGCAAGGATATCTTGGACACCCTTGAACACCTTAAATGTCAGAAGACACCAACATTCAGGCACCTGAATTGTACCCTTCATGTCAGATTCAAGACTTGAAAGTACAAATATTCATCTATAACAAAAAAGTGTAGGAAAGTTTTCATTGAGTAGCTCACTGATCAGAAGATCACTTCAAGATACTTTAAAAGAATGGTGATACAAACACAACATAAAAATACTGAAGAAATTACTGTAGAATTAATTCCCAGATCAATGAAATGCATCCTAGATGACTTTGGGAAAAAATTACACTCCATAAAATGGTGACAGTTTAACTACTTTTTTCCCCATCTTTATTCAGATTATGATAAGTGTATAAATTTTCTGAGTACCTCACACATAATGTCCAGTATAACAGAGTTTTGCCTTTGATTGGTATTTTTAGATCTCTTTAATATAAATAATATTACTCTATCAGAAGCAGCTTTTCAGAGAAAAAAATCCACAAAATCTTAAATGTACATACCTTTTTTATTGAGTGGTCGTTTTCGTACACAAACACATATCCTGTGCTCATCAATCTACAAAGGAAACAATCTTTCAGTTAAATATACCCCAATTCGTTATATAGTATTTTACTTCTATTCTTGAACTACAATAATATTTAAACAAATATAAATTTACAAGATAGTGAGTCATCTGAATGTGTAAAAGCCCCTTGTATCTGCACAGTAACCTAGAATCCAAAAGGGAGAACCATACATTAATAAAACAGTGATCTGATCCTGCAGAGTACCTGCTATGTCTTGGAATATAGCAAGCTAAATCCAGGTGTAACAGGGTAGATATGCTATTGACAGAAATTGTCACAATATCTTTGATCATGCCCAGGTAGAATTCTCAGTCTTGAGGGGTACATAAGAGGTAAAAAGCAGAATCAGGACCCTAAACCTCAGAAAGGCAAACTTTCAGTGCTGGTGTATGTGATCCCTTGGGAAACTGTTCTCAGAAGTAAAGGAGCAAATGTGAGCTGGGAGATATTAAAAAGACATTTTTTTCATAGAGTGCAAGGGCTTGATATTAAAGTTTTGGGGGTTCGCTGAAGTTAGCAATATGAATTAAGCATTTAAATTTTAGCTTGTTGAATTGTGTGTTGAATTTTAACCTTTTACTTAAGAAACCTCTGCCATAGTACAAAGGGCATTGGAAAATGCAAATTTCTGAAGCTTTTTGCAATAAAGGACAATACCGGGAGAAGACCAAGGATTATGAGAAACCCAGATAAAGGGGCTACTCTGTCTGCAAGCTGATCAAAATCGACAGATGTACTCAGATAAGCACCAAGAGACCAAAGTGCACATGCAAAGAAGAAAAGTTCAAAAGTTCAACCATGAGGAAGACCATGGCCTTCAGCCTCAGAGACCACCACCATGAACAACGCATGCCCAGAAGGGTGTGGATCAAATTACCATGCGAGGTGAGGACAGGTGGGGCCAGGGGTTGAATATGCATAAAAAGGTTGAGCAATGTAATGTATATGGAACACCTTTGTGAATAAAAGATGGGGCTCAGACCAGGGCTCGGGGCACAAGTTTTCATGAGAGCTCCTCTTGCTCTTGGCATAGGAGGAAGACAGTCGAGCTGTTGTATACCACCGGGATGTTATATATACACATTATAATATTGCTTTTTGCAAATATTAATGGATACTATATGTAAAATATTACAGAAACTTTGCTATAAAGACATAGTTGGGTTTTTTTTTTTATTTCTGTTGTTAATTAAACTTAGACATGGTAGTGAAATAGCTGATATAGTATGCTTGTGTTAAAATGCCTGCTTGGTTGGGACAACATTCAATGAACATGTGATGGAGACCCCTGCTACTGAGATGCAAATTATCAGCACCCACCGTCTGTAGAAAATATGGACCAAAGCCCAAACTGGAGGTGATAACAAGAACAGACCAAAACCACAGCCAAGAAATACACATGGTCTAAAAAGGCGGACCTAAGGAGGAGCCATGCTAAACAGTTCTTGGAACATGTAAACTAGTTAAGGGGAAATTTTAGATATGCATAATTGTTTATGAATATGCAATAGGCTGATGCAATAGGAAAGGTATTTAAAGCCTCTCCGAAATAGCAGGTGTGTTCTCAGTGGAATGCCAAGCACACAGCCATAAATCTTTGCTTTATTGTCTTTGTCTTCTGTTGTCCTTTATTAAACTTTTACATTTTTACAGGAGAGTGAACCTCATTTTTCACAGTGAGAATCCACTGCCACCACGAAGCCCAGCCCTGTACTGCTTTTTCTTCCTTATTGTGGGTGAACCTTTGCTCATAAGAGCAGTCGTTGCACTGGGAGCTTATTAACACCCAATCTATCTGGAAAGGACCGTCACCATCTATTCGGGTGCCTCAGGGGAAAACTTGGGATCCCGAGCCCCTCCCTCTCTGCAGGAGCCTCTCCTAGCTGTGTTCAGGAGCCTGGCTGCAACTGTCCAGCCCCACCGGTTTTTGTCACTGCTCCAGGTTCTTCACTACACTGTAACCAGCACCCTGTGTCTGCTGGGACACCTCACGACTTCTGCTACAGCTGCGGAGTTTTTGTTACATTTTGCTTGTCACTCCAGGGTCTGCTCATCCCTGCTGTTCCAGCTTTCTGCTTCCAAGGTTCCTGCTACAGCTTATTTTGCTATCTGGAGGGGCACTGGGACTGACTGCCCCCTCCCGCCTCCTTCCCCCCAAGAGTTTGCAAAGGAAGCCCTTTTCTATCTCTTCTGCTGGCTGCGCCTGCCATTACAGGGTGAGAGAGAGGCAACTGAGCTCATGCCACAGCTGCCCCTGCAGCCATGGGAGAATCATCGCACCTTACCTGCCCAGCCAGGAGTCACCAGCACCCCTGCCGGCTGTGATCGTAACTACACCAAAGGGGAAAGTGCTTGACAGCCAAGAGAAGGCTGTTACTGGGTTTCTGATTTTGTTTGTTGTTGCTGCTATTGTTGCTGTTTGTTGCCTTGTTGTACATATACATACTAGTAAAGAACTGTTATTCCTTTTCCCATATGTTTGCCTGAAAGCCCCTTAAGTTCAAAGTTATAATAATTCAGAGGGAAGGGGGTCATATTTTCCATTCCAAGGGAGGTTCCTGCCTTCTTTGGCAAACACCTGTCTTTCAAACCAAGACAAGTGGCTAAGCCACTATCCATTATATTTGAGAAATCATGGCAGTCTGGTGAAGTTCCCATGACTGGAAAAGGGGAAACATAACCCCAATGTTCAAAAAGGGAAATAAGGAAGACCAGGGAACTACAGACCAATCAATGTCACCTCAGTGCCCTGCTAAGGCAGGGTCACCCAGAGCAAGTTACACAGGAACATGTCCAAATGGGTTCTGAATGTCTCCAGAGAAGGAGACTCCATGCCCTCCCTGGGCAGCCTGTTCCAGTGTCTTGCCACCCTCACTGTAAAAAATAAGTTCTTTATGATGAGGTGAATCTTTTGCATTTTAGTTTATGGCCATTGCTCCTCATTCTGTCACTGGGCATCACTGAAAAGAGTCTACCACCATCCTCTTGGCACCTGCCTTTGAGATATTTATATGCATTAATGAGATCCTGTCCTGGGGTGACTTTACAATCCCCAATCATCTGTTCTGTTTATGCTGGATATTAAGTTTTTCACCTTTAAGACTGGTTCTGAGACCGAAGGAGAGGCAGAAGCAGGCAGTTTGTTTTCAGAAACTGCATTCACTCCTCCACATTCCTTCTCCTGGACTGTGTTGTCTGCAGCATGAACGGACAGCAGGAGAGAGCTCTCCATTGCTTTTTAGTTAGTTTTTAGCTAGCTGAGGCAGAGAAGTTCCCCAGACTGTGTTTTTTTCTTTTTCTTGGAACTGTTCAAACCTGCTCTAGACTGAAAACCCAGAAGAGCACCGGGAGCTCACACCTGTTGCCCACCAGGGCCTAGGCCTGGGCCATGGCATTTTCCAGCACTGAAGAGACTGATAAGAGACTAAGAGAGCCGAGCTACACTCCACGACAAGTACTTTCTGAATTTTCCATCTCTTCAGAACAAGAGGTTCTACTGTTTAATACTATTAATTTTTTATGCTTGTGAATACTTTGCTTGTTAAATAAACAGTTTTTTCTACATTTCTCTGAGGAAATCTTTTCCCGAACCAGTAGGGGGAGGGGCTGCTTGAATTTGCTTTTCTAGAGGGACCCCATTTGGAGGTTTCCTCCCAAATTTTGTCCTAAACCAAGACAGATCCCCACTCAGTCTTCTCTAGACTAAACAGGCCCAGCTCCCACAGTCTCTCCCCATAAGAGAGATGCTCCAGTTCCCTCATCATCTTTGTGGCCTTCTGCTGGACCCTGTGCCTGACAAACTTGGTGGCCTCTATTATAGGGTTACAACATTGGTGGATGAGACAAGAGCGACTGTTGTCATCTACCTGGACTAGTGTAAAGCATTTGACACTCTCCTGTACAACATGATAGTCTCTAAACTGGAGAGACATGGATTTGACAGATGGACCACTTGGTGGATAAGGAATTGGCTGGACAGTTGCACTCAAAGAGTTACAGTCAATGGCTCAATGTCCAAGTGGAGACCAGTGATGACTGGTGTTCCTCGGGGGTTGGTATTGGGACCAGCGCTGTTTAACATCTTTGTTAGTGAGATGGACAGTAGGATTGAGTGCACCCTCAGCAATTTTGCTGACAACACCAAGCTGTGTGGTGTGGTTGACATGCTGGAGGGAAGGAATACCATCCATAGGGACCTGGACAGGCTCCAGAGTTGGGCCCATGTGAAATTCATGAAGTCCAACAAGGCCAAATGCAAGGTCCTGAACCTGAGTTAAGGCAATCCCAAACATGGATACTGGCCGGGCAATGAGTAGATTGAGAGCAGGCCTGCCAAGAAGGACTTGGAGGTATTGGTGGGTGAGAAACTGAATATGAGCTGGCAATGTGTGCTCACAGCCCAGAAAGTGAATCACATTCTAGACTGTATCAAAAGCAGTGTGACCAGCAGGTCAAGAGGTCATTCTCCTTTTCTACTCTGCTCTTGTCAGACCCCACCTGGAGTACTGCATCCAGCTCTGGGGCTTCCAGCATAAGGACGTGGACCTGTTGGAGTGAGTCCAGAGGAAGCCATGAAGATGATCGAGGGCTGGAGCACCTCTGCTATGGAGACAGGCTGGGAGAGCTGAGGGTGTTCAGCCTGGAGAAAAGATGGCTCTGGGGAAACCTTATAGCAGCCTTCTAGTACCTAAAGGTGTGGGAACCCAGAACAACCCTCTGGCTGTCCAGGACGGCCAAGACCCCTGCCAGGGGGCTCAGAAGCCCTGGCACGGAGCCCAAAACATCTGTGGTTTTGATTATGACCCGTGGAGCAAATTACCAACCTTATATGAAGATCAGCAAGCCACAACAGTTTAGGTAGAATAATAGTGAAGTTATCACGGGGTGAAAAAGTAGATTTTGGGGTTTTTGGTATGGGGGTTCAGGAAGCAAGATGGAGGGAACTGGGCATGTCCAGCCTTTCTCCTTCTTCTTCTTGGCCTCCATCTTCTGCTGTGATGTTGGCCCTTACAGATTAGTTTAGAGTAGAAGCCCACTGTCTAACATAGGTGATAAGTATTGGAAAGTAATTGTAAACATTGTATATGCTGTTTTTAGTATAAAGACATAACACCACCCCAGGGGCAGGCAGTGTGCCTGGAACTGTCCTGCTGGATGGATCTCGGCAGGGCAGGAGAAAATTTTTTATCGATAAGATGCAATAAACAACCTTGAGACCGAGAACTGAAGAGCTCTGACTCATTCTTCAAGCGCTCGGGCTGGGAAAAGAGACTTTAAACATTCTCGGGGTCACAGTGACCCAAAAGACCCTGAGATAAAGGGGGCCCACAGGAAAGATGGGGAGGAACTCTTTAGCAGGGAGTATAGTGGTGAGGGGAAATGGTTTTAAACTAAAATAGGAGAGATTTATATTAGATGTTAGGAAGAAATTATTTACTGTGAGGGTGGTGAGACACAGATTTCCCAAAGAACTTGTGGATGCTCCCTCTGTGGAAGTGTTCAAGGCCAGGTACATACATCGGAAATAAATTGGAGACAAAGAGCAAAATTCAGAAGGATAAAAAATTTCCACATCACTTGGGTACTTACAGGATCTGCAGTTGTCAGTGGTCTATAATCCAAACTTCCCCTGAAACCTCTTATCATACACATAATTTCATAATTTGGATTTGTATCATCAACATCCTAGGGAAATAAGCAACAGAATTTCTAATATACTTTTCCCCTGAAATTACCAAATTTCAATAAATTCTAAATTTATTTGTAAAAAAAATACACATTAACTAAAATGTTAATTTTTATCCAAAACACCATAAATGTCTCAACTGCAAGTTTAATGCCTTTTTCTATTCTGATGTAGCTAATTTACTGGTCATAAAACACAACAATTATATACTTTCTATTTCATATTTTTGGTTGGCATGTATTAGAAAATACTTTTGAACAGAGGAGTCATTAAAATTCTACTCAACAAAGAAATGACTACTGCTTTTTGCCAGAATCTTCACATAAAGAAACACAGTTAAACATCTTGCACAACAGATAACATATACAGTCAATGCTTCTTAATCTGAGATGAATTAGTCCAACAGACAAATGGATACACTCTATTATACAGGTACAAAACAGACTGCAGAGTACAGTGCAGGTGCCCTAGCCACTGTAAACACAACCCTGCTGCATCCAAGTTGGTTAAAGGAGGTTGATCCTACTTGCTGGTCCTGAGTTAGCTCCTACAGTTACTTGGATGCATTGGAAACTGTTCTAATACTCCTAGACCCCCCCCCCAAAAAAAAAGCAGAATCAATCCAAATGATACACAGAAGGCTATATTCAGGCACACAAGGTCTCCTGTCCCTAAACCTGGAACCATGAGTATCTGAGTGAATGGACATATAAGAGGCCATGCACAGAGCCCCTCTAAACCTTGCAAAGCCTGAGCTACTGAGCCTACTGTGGGCTGTGCTGGTTCACTGCAGAATCACTCAAATGTTCTTTCTGTCAGTTCTCCCCGCAACTATCAGTTTTTACCCCATTTCAGAACATGCTGCTGATGCCATGCATAGCCAGCTCTGGTGCTCAGACCTTATTAAACTTTGCATGGTTTCCTACAGATGAGCTAAAACCCCTTCTGGATCATATCTGATGATGGGCACTTTCCGAAAGTACTGCATTAGGGTTAATAAGCTGAAATGTAGCCAGCTCATGTCTCTACACCTGTAACACAGCTGATCCACACTTCAGACAAAACTGTGCCCTGGTAATCAGAAGCTGACTGTACCTGTAAGTTGTTCACGCTGACTACAGTGAACTAAAAATACTTACAGTAAGTCAATAATAAATGTATTCCTGCTGAAACATTTCCTTCTAACATTCAGAAAGGGGTATTGCTTATTATGGAAAAGGTATTTGCCTAATATTCTTCAATCTCTGTTTAAAGGTCTTGCCCACCAGATGCCAGTGCATGGCTAATTTTTGATGCATTTCACAAAAACAACAGAATATGCAAATGATGGATGAAAAGGGCTGTCACAGAAGTGATAAAAAGAAAATTTAAGCTGTAGCACCACATCAAAGAATTTTAACATATGGAACAAATTATTTGCTCCTCACACATTAGGCCATAGTAATACTTTGCACTTGTTTAAGTGAATGTAAATTAGAGAACAAGAATTCAAAATAAGTGATTTTAGGTAAACTTAGAAAAATCATTAAACCATGAAATAAATTGCCTGAATTGGTGGTGGTATTTCTTGTGTCACTAGCAGATTGGTAGTTGTATTGGGTTTGCATGGCCAGGTTTCAGGTAGAGGTAGGGCTACAGAGGTTGCTTCTGTGAGAAGCTGCAAGCTTCCCCTATGTCCAATGGAGCCAATGACAGCCAGGTCCAAGATGGACTTGCCACCAGCAATGGCTGAACCCATCAGTGATGGTGGTAATGCCTCTGTAATAAAATATTTTTAAAAGGGAAAAAATTATTCCGTGGAAGTACTTGGGGACAGAGAAGAGTGGAGTGAGAATATGTGAGAGGAACAACTCTGCAGACACCAAGGTCAGGGGAGAAGAAGGGGGAGGAGGTGCTCCAGGTGCCAGAGTTGAGATTCCCCTGCAGCCTGTGGCAAAGACCATGGTAAGACATCCATGCCCCTGCAGCCCATGGAGGTCCACAGGGAGCAGAGGTCGACCCACGAGTCCATGAAGACCCACTATGGAGCAGGTGGATGCCCAAAGGAGGCTGTGACACCATCTGAAGCCCACGTTGGAGTTGGCTCCTGGCAGGACCTGTGGCCCTGTGGAGAGAGAAGCCCATGCTGCAACAGGTTTACTTGACAGGACTTGTGACCCTGTGGGGGATGCCTGCTGGAGCAGCCTGTCCTTTAAGGATTGCACCCTGTGGAAAGGGACCCACATTGGAGCAGTTTGTGAAGGACTGTAGCCTGTGAGAAGGACTTAAGTTGGAGAAGTTTGAGGAGGACTGTCTCCCATAGGAGGGATGCCATGCTGGAGAAGGGGAAGGAGTCCTGTCCCTGAGAAGGAAGCAGAAACAACATGTGATGAACTGACCATAACCTCCAATTCCTGTCTCCCTGTGTAATTGGGGGAAGGAGGTAGAGAATTGAAAATAAAGTTGAGACTGGGAATGAGGGAGGGTAGAGAGGAAGGGGTTCATAGGATTTGTTTTGTTTCTCATTATCCTACTCTATGTCATGATTTGACCCTGGCACAATGCCAGTGCCTCCGTGAGAATACACTCTCCCTGGTGTCTGCTGTGAGATGTGATGTGACCAGGAATAAGAACCGCAGGCTCTTGCTTAAAAAGAAAGAAAAAGTTTATTAACTAGACTACAAGCGAAAGAAAAAACACAGAAGGAAAAATGAAAACCTTACAAAAGCATTCTCCTCCTCCCCCCACCAAATTCCCAATACCATACATCTTCCAAAATCACTAACTCTTAGTCTGGCACCACCCTTTAGAATACCCAATTCTCAGTTCATCCAAAAAGGGAGGAGTCCTTCTTGTAGCCATGGTATCTTCTTCCTTTCTATGTTCAGTGCTCTCACCACCGAACTTGGAACCAAGCTGTCTCGAGGGTTGTCTTTTAAGGATGCATCGTCCCACTCCAAAAGGCACAGTCTCTCCTTTCGGGACATCTGTCCCCCCCATATTTTTAGCACCCCCTGGGGCCGAGGAGTATCCACACTGCACTCCTCCTGGTTCTGAGGCCCGGGCTCCCCCTCGAATACAGTCTCCGCATGGCACAGAAACAGTCCATAGCTATACAAAAAGCATCCAGCAACAATGCTACTCCATCACCCTTTCCACCCCTGGGGTTCTTCTTTCTCTCTCTCTTGCTCAGACCTTCCTCTCCTTTACTCAGTTCCTTCTTCATCCTCTAAATTCATATCTTCTCCAGGGGAAGGTTAATGCTCTGCTAAGTTTTCATTATCCACAAAAGGGTTAAAAGCCCTTACACTCGGCTGGACACCTTGTGGCAGTTCCCCCCCCAGTCCTTCTCCGAAGCCGAGCGGCCCTGCTGCAGGCACATGTTTATGGAATTTCAAGGTAACAAGCACAGGCTGCCTTTTCTCTCTCCGTCTCCCGGGGGAAGGGGGGGGGGGGGGGGGGGGCGGGTAGAATACCTCTTGTGCTCCTCCATTCCTTCCATTCCTCCACCCTTGGGCTCCTCAGGGTCAGGCCTACCTCCCCCAGGCTGTGTGGCTTTCCCCTCCCCCACCCAGCAGCAGACAGCTGGGCAGGGGAGAGCTCTGACCTCTTTCACCAAGGGAACTCAAGAGAGCTCCCAGGTGAGCAGCTCTGGTTTTTAACCCCTCTGTTTTCTCAGAGGCGGATCTAATTTTCAGTAGTCAAACCAAGTGCCAATCTTAAAATCTGAGCATCCATTGGTGGTTTGGTGGTAGTGACCACAGCATCTCAGAAATCTCATTTCCGGTCAACCTACCACACTGGTAATAAATTCAATTAATATCCCCAACTCGAGTCTGTTTTGCCCATGATGGTAATCAGTGAGTGATTTCTCCCTACCCTTATCTCAACCCATGAGCCTTTCCTTATATTTTCCCTCCCCTGTCCAGCTGAGGAGGGGAGTGATAGAGCAGCTTTGGTGGGCACCTGGCATCCGGCAAGAGTCAGCCCACCACAAGAGTATCTCTTAGGAGAGACTAACACATACACATACAGGCTGCCAAAAAGACTACGCTGCTAGTTTTGCTAAAGCTTTTACACTTCTATGACAGAAAGCCATTTAATATTAATTGATTTTCTCAAAAGATTGACGTAGTGGGTTGACTCTGGCTGGATGCCCAGGCATCCACCAAAACCGCTCTATCATTCCTCTTCACAGCTGGAGAGGGAGAGGGAAAAGAAAATATAACAAAGGGTTCATGGGTTGAGATAAGGACTGGGAGAGATCACTCATCAAATACTGTCATGGGCAAAACAGGCTTGAATTAGAGATATTAATTGAATTTATTAATTGAATTTATTACTAGCAAAATCAGAGCAGAATAATAATAAGAAAACTAGGACCTTAAAAACACCTTGCCCCCACCCCTCCCTCCTTCCTAGATCAACCTCCTTCCCCCAGTGGCACAGGGAGACAGGGAATGGAGGTTATGGTCAGTTAATCATATGTTGTTTCTGTGTCTGCTCAAGGAGAGGAGTCCTTCCTCTGCTTCATCGTGAGCTTCCTCCCATGTGAGACAGTTTTCCATTAACTTCTCCAACATGAGTCCACCTCATGGGCAATGGTTCTCTGTTAACTGCTGCAATGTGAGTCCATCCCATTGGCAACAGTCCTCCCCAATTTGCTGTAGCATGGGTCACCCACTGGTTGCAGTCCTTCAGGGACAGGCTGCTACAATGTGGGTCCCCCACGGGCTCACAAGTCCTACCAGGAGCCTGCTCCAACACAGGCTTCCCACAGGCTCACAGTCTCTTCCTAGGCATCCACCTCCTCTAGCATGGATCTCCTCCATGGGCTGCAAGTGGATGTCTTCATCCCCATGGACCTCCATGGGCTGCAAGGGCACAGCCTCCTTCACCATGGCCTTCACCACAGGCTGCAGAGGAATCTCAGCTCCAGTGCCCAGAGCAGCTCCTCTCCCTCCTTCTCTACTGACCTTGGTGTCTGCAGAGTTGTTCCTCTCACATGTTCTCACCCTGGTCTTTTCTGGCTGCCAATTGCAACTGCACAATACTTTTTTTTTTCTTCTTCTTCTTAAATCTGTTATCACAGAGGCTTTGCCACCACTTCTAATTGGCCCAGCCTTGGCTAGTGGCCCATCTGTCTTGGAGCCGCCAGGGGTTGGCTCTGCCAGACATGAAGGAAGCTTCTAACAGCTTCTCTGAGAAGCCATCCCTGTAGTCCCCCTGCTACCAAAGCCTGGCCATATAAACTCAATTAAACTAACAACTTCATTTCTTTCACATAAGTTTATAACATCTTACGAGCAAACTGTTTGCATTATGCAAAGCTAATTTATAAATGCATAGACATGTATAAAGGAAAAAGAAAAAAAACTCAGTTTCACTGTTCAAACATGAGTCTAAAAGAGATCTATAAAACATCAAAGATCATAAAGAACAATTTATCATAATGCTGTAATTAACCCCATGCAGCAGGGGGTTAGGCTTGGGGAAGAGTGGCTGGAAAGCTGCCTAGTGGAAATGTTATGCTAACAAACAGGGAAGGCCTTGTTGGAGATGTGAAGGTTGGGGGCAGCCTTTGCTCTAGTGACCATGAGATTGTGGAGTTCAGTATTGGGCAAGGAGGAAGCAGGGCAGCATGTAAGATTACAACCCTGCAGTTCAGGAGAGCTAATTTTAGCCTCTTCATGGATCTTCTTGGACAAATCCCATGGGAACAGACCCTGCAGGGAAGAGGGGTGGGTCCAAGAGTTTTGGTTGATATTAAAGTATTGCTTCCTCCAGGCTCAAGAACAATGCATCCTGATGATGAGCAAGAAATCAGGTACAGGGGGCAAAAGACTTGCCTGGATGAATTAAGAACTCCTGTTGTTACTCATGCAAAAGGAGGAAGCACATAGGAGGTAGAAGCAGGGTCAGGCCACTTGGAATGAATATAGAGAGGTTGTCCGAGTAAGTGGAAATGAGATGAAGAAGGCCAAGGCCCATCTGGAATTAAGTCTGGCCAAAGATGTCTAGTATAACAAAAAGGGCTTTTTCAAATACATTAATAACAAAAGGAAAACAAAGGATAATGTGGGCCTATTCCTAAATGGACAGAGGACCCTGGTAACAGAGGACACAGAGAAGACAGAGGTACTGAATGCCTTTTTTGCATCAGTCTTCACTAATAAGACCAGCCCTCAGGGATCTCTGACCCAGGAGAGCAGGGTAAAGGAATGGTGGGAGGAAGACATTCCCTTGGTCAAGGAGGATTGGGTCAGAGAACACCTAAGCAAACTGGACATCCAAAAGTCTGTGGGCCCTGAGGGGATGCATCGAGAAGTGCTGAAAGCACTGGCGGACATCATAGGGAGGCCACTCATGATCATCTTTAAAAGGTTGTGGAGATCAGGAGAGGTGCCTGAGGGACTGGAAGAAAGCAAATGTCACCCTGGTCTTCAAAAAGGGCAAGAAGGAGGTCCCAGGGAATTACTGACTAGTCAGCCTCACATCAATCCCTGGAAAGGTGATGGAGTGCCTCATTCTGGAGGCCATCTCTATCCACATGGAGAACAAGAAAGTGATAAGAAGCAGTCAGCAAGGATTCACTAAAGGGAAGTCATGTTTGACCAGCCTGATAGCCTTCTAAGATGAAATAACTACCATGATGGATGATGAGAGAGCAATGGATTTTGTCCACCTGGACTTCAGCAAGGCTTTCAACACTGTCTCTCACAACATCCTCATAGGCAAACTCAGGAAGCGAGAAATGAATGAGGGGACAGTGAAGTAGGTTGAGAACTGGCTGAACAGTAGATCCCAGAGGGTCACGATCAGTGCCACAGGGTTCAGTTGGAGGCCTATCATTGGTGGTGTCCCCCAAGGTTCAATACTGGGCCAAGTATTGTTTGCCTCTTCAGCAAGTTCAATGATGCCACAAAGCTGGGAGGAGTGGCCGATACCCTACAGTGCTGTGCAGCCCTTCAGAAGGACCTTGACAGGTTGGAGAGATGGGCAGACAGGAACCATCTGAAATTCAACAAGGGCAAATGAAGGGTCCTGCACCTGGGGAGGAATAACCCCGGGCATCAGCACAGGCTGCGGTTGACCTACTGGAAAGCAGCTCTATGGAGAAGGACCTGTGGGTCCTGGTGGACAACAAACTGTCCATGAGCCAGCAGTGTGCCCTTGTGGCCAAGAAGGCCAATGGTATCCTGAGGTGCATTGGGAAGAACATTTCCATCAGGTCAAGGGAGGTGATCCTGCCTCTCTACTCATAGAATCATAAAATGGCATGGGTCGAAAGGAACCTTAAAGATCATCTAGTTCCAACCCCCCTGCCAAAGATAGAGACACATTTGACTAGACCAGGTTGATCAGAGCTCCATCCAGCCTGGCCTTGAACACTTTGAGAGATGGGGCATCCACAAGTCTTCTGGGCAATCTGTTCCAGTGCCTCACCACCCTCACAGTCAAGAATTTCTTCCTAATATCTAGTCTAAACCTACTCTCAGTTTGAATCCATTGTCCCTTGTCCTGCCACTCCATGCTCTTGTAAAAAGTCCCTCTCCATCTTTCTTGTACGTGCCCTTCAGGTACTGGAAGGCCACAATTAGGTCATTCCAGAGACTTCTCTCCAAGCTAAAAAAACCAAATTCTCTCAGTCTTTCCTCATAGCAGAGGTGCTCCATTCTCTTAATCAACTTGGTGACTTCCTCTGGACTTGCTCCAACAGGTCAATGTCCTTCCTGTCTTGGGGACCCCAGAGTTGGATGCAGTACTCAAGGTGGGGTCTCACCAGTGCAGAGGGGCAGAATCACCTCCCTCAAACTGCTGGCCATGCTTCTGATGCAGCCCAGGACATGGTTGGCTTTCTGGGCTGCCAGCACACGTAAGCTCATGTCTAACCTCTCATCCACCAGCACCCCCCAAGTCCTTCTCATCAGGGCTGCTCTCAATCAGTTCATCCCCAAGCCTGGATTGATACTGGGGATTGCCCCAACCCAGATGCAGCACCTTGCACTTGGTCTTGTTAAATCTCATGAGATTCCCATGTGCCCACTTCTTGAGCTTGTCCAGGTCCCTCTGGATGACATCCAGTCCTTTAGGTGTACCAGCCACAGCACTGAGCTTGCTGCCATCAGTCCTAATGAGGTCACATCTGGAGCGCTGTGTCCAGTTCTGGGCTCCTAAGTACAAGAGGGACATGTAGATCCTGAAGGGAGTCCAGCAGAGAACTACTAAGTTGATCACAGGTCTGGATAATCTCTTTTACGATGAAAGGCTGAGAGAGTTGGGCCTGTTCAGCCTCAAAAAGAGATGACTGAGAGGGGACCTCATCAATGTATATAAATATCTAAAGGGTGGGTGCCAAGAGGCTGGAGTCAGGCTCTTCTTGGTGGTGCCAAACAATAGGACAAGACACAATGGGCAGAAACTGATGCCCAGGAAGTTCCATCTGAACATGAGGAAGAACTTCTTTACTGTGCAGGTGACCGTGCACAGGAACAGATTGCCCAGAGCGGTTGTGGAGTCTCCCTCACTGGAAATATTCAAGAACCACCTGAATGCAATCCTGTGTAATGTGCTCTGGGATAACCCTGCTTGAGCAGGGAGGTTGAACCAGAAGACCCCATTGTGATCCCTTCCAACCTTACCCATTCTGTGAAAAGGACCTGGGGGTGTTGGTCAACAGCAACTGAACATGAGCCAGCATGTGCCCAGGTGGCCAAGAAGGCCAATGGCATCCTGGCTTGTCTCAGCAATAGTGTGGCCAAGAGGATCAGGGCAGTGACCATCCCCCCTGTACTTGGCACTGGTGAGACTGCACTTGGAATCCTGTGTTCAGTTTCGGGTCACTCACAACAAGAAAGACATTGAGGTGCTGGAGTGTGTCCAGAGAAGGGCAACAGAGATGGGGAAGGGTCTAGAGCAAAAGCCTGATAAGGAGCAGATGAGGGAGCTGGGGGGGGAGCTCAGTGTGGAGAAAAGAAGGCTCAAGGGACTTTATTGCTCTCTACAACTCCCTGAAAGGAGGTTGTGGTGAGGTGGGCATTGGCCTCTTCTCCCAAGTAACAAGTGACAAGACATGAGGAAATGGCCTCAAAACATTTGTTTCACAGAAAGGGTTGTCAAGCACTGGGACAGGCTGCCCAGGGAAGTGTTAGAATCACCATCCCTGGAAGTGTTCAAAAAACATGTGGATGTGGCACTTGGGGGCATGGTTTAGTGGTGAACACAGTGGTGCTAGGTTGATGGTTAGACTTGGTGATCTTAAAGGCCTTTTCTAACCTTAACCATTCTATGATTCTATTAATGTCTCCTGTAGAATAACAGTCCTATCTAAATGCCAAATATTTGATTATTTTCATTAATATATTTTCCTTAAGCAATAGCTGTCATCAGGACCTCATTTTTAAATAAAACACAGAATGCTAAGAAATTGTAAGCAATTATTTCTGTACGAAAGAAAAGAGGGGGAAAACCGACTAAATAAATAGTTATCAAAGCAATGCAACCATGTACCAAAATACTTATTGAAACCACATACAGGATGAAAGCATTTAAATTCAAGATCATTATAGTTCATAAAAATTGTTGAAGACTGAAAAAAGCACATAATTTTGCAAGCAACTTCTTTTCCGGATATACATTTTCCATCTGAGCTAAAAATACTAACCTGAGCTCTTTTTTCTCTAAGTTCCTGCTGCTGTAATCTTCTTTTTTCACGTTTCTCTTGCAGTTTTTCAACCTCTTTTACACAATTGGACTTTCTACGTGCTTAAAGAAAATATAATTGAAAAATATTTTTAATGTTGCATGAATTTAATATTTATACCATAATATTTCAATTATATTATTTATGAATAATTAAAATGCATTCATTTATATCAAGTATCTTTCCAAGCATATCAGTATTGGGACAAAATAATTACAGCAACATAATTTCTAAAATGCATATAATAAATGAATGCAAAAAAGCCATACCAATGGGACAATCATTACAGAACCAAAAATATAGCAACGACCCTCAAAAAATATTTGCATGTGATGATATTTGGATACATGTGATCTCTTGGTGTGAATTAAAAGAAAGCCCAGGTAAATGAAAAAAACCCCACTGTCATAGTTAAAAAGAGATAAATGAAAAATAAATTTGGCAGAAAGAACAGCTATGACAAAAGTGAACATATTTCTTTAGCCACAGAACTCTGAAAAAGCTTCTTGAGGAAGCCTACAGGCAACTGCATATAGAGAACATTTGTCATTTATGGACAACAACATAATTGAAAAAAATGTACATGTAATGCCTGCCCAGAATGAATCCTTGATACATGGTTTACATACAAGAGGGTCCGAATTCCTTTTTTGCAGCTTGAACTGGAGATATATCTGAAAATCTACCATTCTGTTGTGAGGAGGAAGACTGTTCAGGAAGCTGAGTAGGCCGTGTGTGTGCAGAACCAACCACTGCAAATGAAAAGCACAAAGCTCATCTAGATATGGAAGAGTAACATTTCTATCCGATAGTGAAATGCTTTATGGCAAGATAAAAAGAGGTCCCTTTCAAGACACAAAAAATTAATGAGAGGAGGGGAGGGGGGAGCCATACATGTAAAAAATCTATTAATAAAGACATTCAGTATGCATCTTCTTTTATCCTAGTGTTATACACCAATACAACATAATTAATAAGTACTAATTCTGCATGTGCATATTTTTTAAACACTCCCCTACATAATTAATAGAACTTATTAGGTGCATAAAATTTATTATGTACTTGGAGAGATGCAGTTTTGAAGTTTAAAGCATTGACATTTTATTTATATTGTAATTATACACAAAAACCCAGTAAAAAAAGGACTCACTGTTTCACATTCTCTAGCTGTTACAAAACGGTCCCACCCCATTGAACCTACAACATGTGGATGAGTAGAGTGATAGAAATGAAAGGCAGCAAAGCGCAGTTTAATCTATAAGTGGAATAAACAAGCCTTTTTGACACTATTCTGGAAAGCTAAACTTATTGATTCTATGATATGTGATAATGGACTCTAATTTCTGAAGATGCAGAGTGATGTCTGTTCCCAGTGAATGAGGTGAGAGTGGCATGCATGCAAGCCTCTTTGGTAGAGCTGAATGTTTTGTTTTTCAGAGTTGCTTCAAGCAGCTCTGCTTCAGATGGCCATTTTCCTATACATGTTCCTAACAAGATCTGCCAGAAGAGTACAAAAGTGAAGGTAACACTTTTGATTAGTAGCCTGGAGATGACATTCCAAAGGAAGACCAGTACACTGCAAAATGGAGAAAACTATGGAAACAGGCATCAAATGGGATAGAGAAAACAAATCTCCAGATCATCCCAAATATGATAGGAGATCTAGCTTATAGCATGAATTAACTACACTAAACAAGACAGTGTGCTGATAAAAGTTTAATTATAAGGCAAACAAAGAACAAATACTTAGTCCAACTGTGAATAGTAAGATGCACAGGACTGTGGCAGTAGCTCTCTGGCCACAGAGAGCAGGCACAAACTTTCCCAGACATTTTCCTGGAGAAGGCTGTGAGAAGATCAGAGAAAAAAATGAGAAACAAGTCTTATCTCCACTTGCTGCACCTGTTGTTGTGCACATGTGGAATGCATTATGGAGATTTGTTTACCAAAGGGTGATTTCTTAATTGGACACTGGATGGTGTTTGGATAGATTGACCAATTAGATCAAAGCTGTATTGGACTGTCTGTAAGGGTTACAAGCTTCTTAATAAGTATAGTATAGTGTAGTATAGTATCATATAGTATGCTATAATAAAGCAATTGATCAACCTTCTGCAATCATGGAGTCAATGCTAATTATTACCCAGCTGGGGGCCTGCGGCGACACAGGACCTATTAAAATATAAGCTACAAGGTTATTCCATACAAAACAGACCGTTTGCTACAAATGATGACATATATGGATGTGAGGAAAGCCCATCAAGAAGATATCTCAAATTTAAACCATACTGGTTTGAAAAAAATTCCCCTTTTCATGAGATTTCTGATTTAACACCCCCAGAGGCAAATGGCAGAAAGTGATCCCAATCATCTACCAGAGGAGTCTGAACACATAAAAATATGTACAAAACCACTTGTTTTACAACCTTAAACAGATGTAATGGAATCTAGCCTGAGTTAATGACGGTAGATTAACATTTGGAAAAAGAATCATTACCATCATCAGTACAAGCTAACTTTAATGCAAGAGAGAAAATTGAAACTGTTACAGATAGATAAGGAGATTATTTGATCTCACAATTAAGGGATGAATATTGTATGAATATTAAAAGAAGCTTTATTGATGTATAATTATGTTATTGTAGTTTAGATGTCCTCTGTTCTCACCAATAATCCCTCCACACACCCCCCTCCCCCCCGTATTGCTGCCATCAGACAGCCTGGGTTGTCTAGGACAGGTAGAAAGAAGGCATGCACATGTGCCCCTTGCATGGGGCAGTTGGTAACAGAAAAGCTTGTTGCTAGGGGGTGCAGCATGACAACACCTGACCCTCTAATCAAGTTACAAGGAAGCAGTCTCCATCAACTTCATCAATAAACGGCAAAGAAGAGTTGACTGACAGACTTTGGGAGGGGCCAGGGTTGGCTGATGCAACCCCCAGGAGTATAAAAGACTGAGCGTCCATCTTGAAGAGGAGCCAGCCATGTGGTAGGGAGCTACAAGGGCAGTTCCCAGCCCTGAAATTTTTCCTTATGTAGTCCTTTTGTTGTATTTTTGTTAAGGTTTAATAAACCATTTAAAATGTTTAAAGTGAGTGGTTGTTTCTCACAGAATGGGGCCTCATCCGGGATATAAAGCCTCTTCTCACGTGGCCCAGGAGATTTCGGAGTAATGGTGCCCCTGCTGACTTCTCTTGGGACCATCAGAGACAGCAAAGGACTATATACCGAAAAAGAAGAAAGAGAAGGATCTAGAAGATTGTGAGTATAAGTGTGTGCGTGCCTGAAGTGTGAGTGAGGTAGTTTTGGGAGTGTGCTTAGGGTAAAAGATTCTCATAATTATTTTGGCCAGAATATAGTTCTGTAATTCTGGTATATGGACGTGAGTGACGCATTAGTAATATACAGTTCCGTCCTGATCATTTGAAGCTTCAGGATAATGGACGGTTGGAAGCAAGGGTGGGACACGTAAGAGAAGAAGGAGGGGGCCCTGTTGCCTGCTAGACAGGCATGGAAGAAGGGCAGAAATGCAGCAGGCGGGATGCATAAAAGATGAAAGCAGGGACCCCCAGCTTAGCGGGATGCATAAGATTGAAAGATTTGTAAGAGCTCAAGAGCACTTGGAGGTTGCCAAGTTGAGACCCACAATGTTAAAGTGATAGCAAAAGTCACCATTCAGTAGAAATGGTGCTCATCTTGGGACAGGTAGTTGAGGTAACTTTCCCAGCCCATGGGTAGCGGGGAGGGGAAGGACCACATGGCTACCTCACATGGAGCAGCGGTGCATTGAGTGCAGTGAGCTTCAGCGCAATAACTTCCAGAGCTTATCAGCCAAAACACACACCTGCCCGCGGTGACTAAGTGGTGGCCGGCACCAGCAGGGCCACCACTCGGGACAAGCCAAGTGCGCGGGGTTCCCCAGGTTGGGACTGCAGGAGAGGGCAAGCGGGGTTTTGCGGGGCTACTGTGGTGGTTCTCCTGACCCGCTGGCAGGGAGGAGTCCAGGGGCCATTTGCCTGGACCGGTGTTCGCAGCTGAGCTCAGCACTGCAGGTTTCCAGTACATGCCGACCCCGTGAGGATGGGGGAAGGCCGGTGGGGCCGTGGTGCTGAGATTACATGAGGCGCTGCTGGTGATTGGAGACCTGCCAGGGTGCGGGTGTCCCCAGGCCGAGCCGCAGGGTCCGCCATGGCTCCCCTGTGGAGCAGTGAGATCGAGACCCCACATGGGTGATGGCACCCGGAGGCGACGGAGGGCCATGGGCAGCGAGAGGGCTGCCGTCTGCGACTGGAACGACTTTCACTGAAAGCCAGGGACCGCCCTCTAGTCTGCCGGTGTGGGCTGCCAGCAGTGGGGGCCATGCTCTCGTGGACCAAGAGATTTGGATGCGCTATGTGTGCGGTGCTGCTGAGGGTTGGGGACAGGCTCGGTTGTGTGAGGACCTTGCAGACCACAGTGATCACTAGCATGGCGAGGGTGTCATGGGACATGTTCTGCGTGAAGACCACTGAGAGTTCATAACTCCTGGCTGTACAGGGGCTTCTCTGCAACACACCACTGTGGGGCAGAGCAGACACAGAGCAGGGACGCACGAAGGCGCAGTGCCAGCTCGATGGGGAGGGAGTGGTGGCTTAGGATGCAGGGTGCAATCGCGTCTGGCACGACAAGCAGTAGGTGCCTCTTGTGGGGGTGACCCCGGCATTGTTGGCTCACCTTTATGGAACTGCCTGCAGCGAGTCAGGGATGCCAGGGGCAGTCGAGCCCGGCAGGGCTAACCCAGGGCATCAGGCTGTGGAGACTCCCCTGGAATGTTCAACAGCATGGAACCGCGTGAACACGAGAGCACCACGTGAGCAGCTCAGCAGCTGCTTCCACTGATGTTCCGAGAGTATAAGCTAATGATTTGCTTTTATTTTCCAAGAAGAAGGCAAAGCTTCTTCTTTCTTTTTTCTCTCTTTTCTTTCTTTCTCTCTCCTTTTAACTAATTAGGGAGACAGGGTCTGTCAGGAGAACCTGTAGTTAGAATGAACTGTGAGCCACCCTCCACAATGATAGGGATCTCAAGCACCCCCCCTTTTAGTTAAAAGGTAAGAAGTATCCCTTGACAAAACACAATAGTGTAGCTGTGTAAAGGGTGGAGAATACCATAACCTATTTATTTACTCTTTGAACAGTACACTTATAGGGATTTCTTATTCACTGTCACATATTTAGATGTTGTGCATTACTAATAGGTTTTGTGTGGATGTGACAGCCTGGTCAGAGAGTGAGAAAACGAGATTAGTTTTCTCACAGCAGACTTATGAGACTTTTTAGGGAGTTGTAGAGAAATGATGATAACTTGTTAGTATAAACAACCTGCAAGTGGTGTTTTCCTACTCTGTTTTTCTGTTCTTCTCAAGGACTGTTTGTGAGAAAAGTGTTTTTATTAATTAGCCAATCACATTGAATGTATCAGAACTGTATATAAAAAGAGAAGAGTTTTTCACATTAAATCTGCTGTTGTGCAAATCAGCCTGCTTGGAGTCTGTGCCGCTTTCTTACTCGATATCGACATCTGGTGACCGACAACGTGTATTGTACCGATTGGCCCCTCATGGATCACGGGACGGATGGAGACACCTGGGACCTCCGCTGGGACCCCTGCCGGACCTCCGCCGGGATCCCGAAGCGCCTGTGCAGCCTGCCTGCATCCGGCCACCCTCTGCTTCCCCAGAGAAGGTAACGACCTTTCCCCACATCCTTCTGAAAG